CATGCTCAAAGAGCGGTTCCTTATGCACTGACTGTGGTCTTTGCCAGGCTGCGTGCTGTCAAGCACCGGACAATTATTGCACAAAACAGCATAGCGATGCCGGCATCCCATCTACATCCCCATCACGTCTTCATTTCAACTGTGGTCTTTGCCAGGCTGCGTGCTGTCAAGCACCGGACAATTATTGCACAAAACAGCATAGCGATGCCGGCATCTCATCTGCAACTGGGATAAGCATGCTATGCAGCACAGAGAGCACCTCGTGCTCAATGACTAGACATGACCTGGTGCTCTGTGGGCCACGCACACACACACACACACAGACACAGAAAGGGAGCCGCGTTTCCCTCATTTGGAACCACATCACCATGGCTGAACGACACGCTGACGGCCCAGAGCACAACACGCATGCCCACCGGGTGCTTTTGGCATCGTCATACTGTCTGCATCGCAATAGACCGCCACAGTCAAAAAGGGACAGTGGTGGAGCTAGACCATGCAGGTGACTGCACATGATACCGGCCTTGCTGAACTACTAGCAGTTACCAGCAGACTAGCATCGCGGATTGAGCTCTTATGCCCGCTACCAACACAACGGCGCAGCTGGGATCTGATTGGATGACACATTGACGGCCCGGTGAACCAATAGATGGCCCTCGGGCGCTTTTGCTGCCAAGACACTCTTGGCATCGCAATATACCCGAATTGCCAGAGCTGGCAGTCAGGAGCTAGGCGGTGCCAAGCAGTAGTTCAACCCACACAACTTAACGCCACGATGATCCCAGACCCGCAAGATCTGCCGTCCCCATTTCCCCAAAACCCAAGTATTAATTCTCCAACAAGTCACGTTACTGCATTTCATGCTGGCCTCCAGGACTATCATCATGGATTTCCCGGAGGTATTGCATGCAAAGATCTCATCTCCCTCCGAGTGGGCCACCTGCCAGCTCTCTCCCTCAACGGTCTTCCCGAGCTTGCAGCCGTGGCCGCACCGGACCCTAACCAAACTCACCTGCTTCCGGTTGTCTTCTGAGCTGGTCGCACTCGACATCATGGTAGCAGGACTAAACATGCATGTGGGTGGTTGTCAAAATTATGGTCCCTTTTGGGGTACCCTAAATAATAGGTGCCGTACTATAATAAGGACCCAAAAAGGGACCATAATCTTGACAACCACCCATGTGAAATTCTATCTCCACTCCACAGGCCTCAGACAGCTGGCCCGCCAGGGACATGAGGAAATCCTGCGGACAACCCGCAAGCAGCGAGGTGCTCGCCAGGGCCGGGACGGCGACCTTCTTCGGCTCAGGCTTCCGGCGCTTTGGCTTTCGACTGAAGAGTCTAGGTTCAGGGTTCAGGGTTTAGGGTTCAGGGTTTAGGGTTTCTTTTTATCACCTCTTTTCCTTCGCGTGAGGGTCTGGAATACCATGTTGGTTGAGGCAGGGAACAAGTTTAGAGTTCAGGGTTTACTCTGAACAGCGAGTCGGGCGCAGAGTTTAGCTTACGCTTCAAAGCCTCGGTAGGTATCTCCTAACTGAGGGAAACCACAAGCCTAAACCCCGAAACCACGCCGAACCCGACATCCACAAAGCCTAGAAGCCCCATACCCCATACGCTTGGTCTCTCCTTGTTCTTTGTTCTCGAGGCCGCCGCACAAGTATTCCGGCAGGTCTGATTTAGAGGTACAGCTATCTAGGAATCTAGGAGGGTTTTGAGTTTTGGGTTCCCGGAGTGCAGGCGCCCTGAACAGAACACAATTGCAGAGCAAACCCCAACTGCTCAAACAGACCATGTCTGATACCTGGCTTGATCAACCTTGAGACTGATCTCAATAAGTTGGGCAGCTGCCTGCGATGCCCATCGGCAACGCTCCTGCTTGCTGCGGCAAGCCTCGAGGTGCAGAAGCAGCTTGCTTTGAGGCAACGTACCGCAACACAGCACATGCATACGTACATCACGTCAATTATCGTTTGCGATGTGTGAAAGGACTGTGTTTCGCCTCAATGCATCACCATCAGCAGGTCTACGCTGTGGTTTCTCGGAGAAGGTTTACTGGTCCAGCCTCGCGGTGCAGCAGCTCCGCATTCTTGATCCACAGCTCCGCGTTGCTGGGGCAGTCTTGCAGAGCTCGGCCGACGGCGGCATGGGGGATGCGGACGCAGAAGGCGGGGCCCATGCCGGGAAGGGCTTTGAAGGCTTCGGTGGAGCTCTCCACGAGGTCCAAGGCGGACGCCGAGCCCAGAACTTCCCCGGGGCCTGCAAAGCGGAAGACGATGCCTTCGGGTGTCGCGACTTGGATTCGTCCCGCCAGCACAATGAAAAGCGAGCAGTGCCCTTTGGGCAGGTCGCCGGCTTGCAGGGTCTCGCCGGGGGCCAGCAAGACCCCCTCGGCTTCGGTGCACAACGTGGCCAGGAAGTCTCTCCGACAGCCCTGGAACTCTCGTCCGGCTTCAAGGAAGGCCAGTATCCTCCTCCCGGCGGCTTCCTGTCGCAGGGTGCCAGACTTCAGCTGCATCCACAACATCAGCAAGCCTGGAAACTTATTCGTCTCCAGAACCCCCTACGCCCGGCATGCCCGACATCCCAATGCCAAAACCCTAACGGCGTGGCCTGGACCCTTGCGAAGGGCGCCCCAGGCACCGCAAAGCGCGAGGCCTCTCGGAGGAAGCGGTCAAAGACCTCAGTTGTGGGGCTGTAGGATGTATAGGGCTTATAGGGCTCAGGTCTCACTGGGCTATGGGATCTTAAGAGTTTAGGGTGGAACAAGTAGTGATTATGCCTATGCTTTGAGGGTTCTCTTACGGACCCATCTCTTTCTGAATCTGTCTGCCTAGACCGCCATGTTGGCTGAGTCGCGCTTTAGGGGTCCGGAGCCCAAGATGCAGTGGATAACTCTGCCTGAGGCACTCCTAACCTGAACCCAAAGCCCATGAACTCTAAACACCAAACCCGAAACCCCAAAACCCCTGATTGCCCCACATCGAATTCCCCGACCGTCGCACCTTGGCCTCGTCCGGGAACTTTTGCAGAGAAGACCTGCAAGGTGCCCATCCCGCGTCTGTACGCCCAGAAGGCTTGGCAGTCAGAAGATCGGGGGGATTGAGGGTTGAGAGTGAGGATTTCGGGCATAATCTACCTACCTTTCTACCTACCTACCTACCTACCTACCTACCTACCTACCTACCTACCTACCCATCTATCTATCTACATCTGTTTTGGGCGAGCCGGGTTTGGATAAGTAACTACTGGGATTGGAAAAAACAAACCACCAGCAATCACTGAGGCACCTATGCCTTCAAGCTGCAGCCATCCGGACCCCTGATCTCAATGGATGTCCAGAGCATTGGGCAATGCTTGAGCAGACGGGGTAGCTCTGAACATGGCTCACTTAAACCCCAAACAAACTCGACCCATGAGGCCTTTCAGACCCGTGGAAGTCCAACGACCTCCCAAGGGATCTCAGATGCAGCTGAGAGGCTGGAAGTCGTCGCGGTGAATCGCCTGTCAACTCTATCAAAGATATGCTTGTCAGCACTTGCGTTGCTCTTGCTGCGATGGCAACGGTGAGGGTGGTACTGGTGATGACGATGACGACGACGACGACGACGACGACGGTGATGATGGAACATGATGGTGATGATGATGATGATGGTGATGGTTGTGGTGATGTTAACGGAGGTTTTGACAGTGGTGTCGGAGTTGCTCGTGCGATTCTCAGGTTTAGCAATAACAAGATCTTGATGCGAGTCTTACTAACCCTGTGCATTGTGCTGTATGTCCTGCTACGGTTTAGACTTACTCCTGGATTCGTGTCTCTATGGTTACCAATATCTACTATTGTCCTTGCTGATCTGTTCGATACTAGCCTGATCTGGTGTGAGACATGTGAGACACCTCTGTCATGGTGTAGACACTCGACCTGAATCGTGGACGCACTACCCGCCAGTCTGTGCGCTACTAGACCGTCGGAGGGACGTTGGCAACAGCTGACACGGGGAAGCTCGTTCACGAAGTGCAAATGCAACAAAGATGTCAACTCACTTCTTTTTTCTTCGGGCCGTCTCGGTCCCACACGTGTGCTCGCTCTCGGCACCCCACAACGGCCTATGGCTCGCAAAGAAAACCTTGTGGTTTTCGAGTTTCCGGCGTAGCTGCTGTAGCTAAAGCTTAGGCCAAAGGACGTCCTGCGGGGAACAGCTGTACACACATGAGCAAGCAGCATGCGGATTGAACCTGTCATGATCTAATTCCCTCTCGAGGCAACGCCTTTGACATGCCCCAAAAGGTCTTCAAGGAGCAGTGGCAGCTTGCTCGATTTCGAGAGCTCTCCGGCGTCTCGCGGACATGAAAGCTCCGGGCAATCTCAGTCTCCAAGTCCCGGTGGTGAGAAACTTCTTCAGCGAGTCCTGCTTACTGCTCTTGGTGAGTCCATCAGCGAGTTGGTGATCGCTGTCGCACCACTCCAGCAGGGTTCCTTGAGCTTTCAGCTGATCGGCCACTCCCATCAGGTCCAGGGCAGAGTACTTGTCTCGGAGATTGAAGCCGGATGAAAAGTCAGCGCCTTTCAGAAGAGCGTCGTAGACCCCGCGGGCGTCGATGATAAGGTAGGCCTTGGTCTTGATCGTGGACTCGGAGGGCTTCGACAAGTCGATCTCATCCCCGAGGAGTTCTCTCCAGGTCAGGCGACACCACATCATCTCCTGCTCGGCCAGGGAGAGAGCTTGGCTCTCTGCTGCAAGGGAGCTGCGCGCTACCCTAGGTAGCTTCTGCGACCTCCATGACACCATGTTGACTCGTCCATGGCCTGCAAGCACGTCTGTTGGCGTCATTAGTCCTATAAGAAATCCTCCTGTACTTGAGAAGTCAGGTCTGTTCGCGAGCGAGGCATCGCTCCAACCAATGAACACCAAGTCCTCGGCAGCGCAGTTGCCGAGGTTCTGAACATGGGTTCCCAAATGGCGTGAACTCTGAACTTCTCTCACCAACTTGTTGATCTGGTTGATGCAGTCGGAATCCTTGGAGGCTAAGAGGCTTTGGAGGTGGCCTAGCTTGGCAGCATGTTGAGGTCCAGATTGGGTGACTCTCCACTGCACACTGCCTAGCACAGCTCGTGCCTGGCTAAGTTCTCCTTCCGTCATTGACCTAGATGGTCCTGACACCGCAGGCATCTGAGTCAGATCGCGGCAGAAGGCTGAGTGGTCAATGGTGACCGAGCTATCGCCGTGTTGTGTGAGGCGCAAGCCGCAGAAATCAAAGCTCTCCCATTCCCAAGGAGACCAGGTATAGGCCTCCTCGAAGGACTTCATGAAACGTACCCAGGCTGCTGAGGTTGGATCTCCAGTGAACAAAAAATCGTCCACGTAGGATCCTAAGATCCCACACACTCGACCTGAAGAGTCGAATATCCGCCACACGCATGGGTCGGTACGGCACTGCTTGGCTCCCAGCCTACGCAGCGTTTTCTGGATATCAACAAACCACTCTCGTGGGGCCTGCGCCAGTCCATACGCTGAGCCAGCCAACTCAACAGCCTCGTGGGGTCCAAGCTTCAATGCTTCCGCCAGTTCCGGCAGGGGTCGAGCGAGGAGGCGCTGAGTTCGTTCCTCAGGTCTGGCTTGTAGGAAAGCTGTTTTGACATCCCCTGATCCAATCGGCCATTTCTTAGCACACGCCATGTTGAGGATCAACTGCCTGCTCAGCCGGCTCATCGTTGGCGATGTAGTTGGCTCTTCCAGCAGGCTTGGCGCGCTGTAACCAAGCACCACAATTCTCGCCTTCGCCTTGACTTGTTCTCGTCCTTGGGCATCTGGCTCGGCGGCCTTGAACGTTAACACCCATCTCATTCCAATGAGTGACTGAGGGTCCACATGCTCACTCACCTTCCGGGCCACCTTAGTTTTCAGCCATTGCTGAACTTCCAAGCTCTTTGCCTCCTGCATCGCCGCTCGCTGCCTGTCAGACAGCCGACCCCAGGTTACCTCCACACCCTTCTGCATCGTCTTCGCAACAAACTTAGAGGGGTTCTTCACCATTCTTTTCCATTCTGCTGCGTTCTCCGGTGCCGGAATGGTAACCGCATAGAGTCGTTCCTCCTGCGGCGCAGCCCAAAAGGTTTGTCCTTCATCTCCTTGACGAAGGACATGCAAAGGTCGATCTTGTAGTTCATGTTGTGCTCGTTGTTCTTGAAAACTGGAACTGGGCCTAGAAGTGTGAGGAGGAGCAGGAGGTATGGGGCCCAACGGCACGTAGTCCGGATCATTGAGGAGTCTGTCCAGATCCAAAGCTTCTTCATCTCTAAGAAGCTCCTCGTCCCCGGCGCTAGGCTCAGGAGCTGCACGCTTCAGGTTTTCCACCCTGCGGTCGGGAAGGAGCTCTTCATCCGAAGGCTCTCCAAGGTCATCGCCAGCAGCTTCAGCATCAGGAAGTAGTTCAGGGTCTCCTGGAACAGGGGGAGGTTCTCCGCCAGGAGCTTGATCTTCACCTGTCGGAAGAACTCGGTGATGAGGTAGAGGGGGAACCGTGAGATCCTCATAGGCCCCTCGACTCATAGTTGCCGAAAGACTTGTCAACGTCCAAGGGTAGACCACGGTTCCTGATGACTCTGCAATCATTTTCTCCGTCTCACTTGCGTGTCTCAACTGAGACACATGGGCCTTCTTCAATCTGCCCGACGCAATGATCCAGACGTGGGCAGACGGTTTTCGGTCTCCAGGCTCTCCTTTCGTCTCGGCAGCTAGGACCCTTGCTGGTCCAAACCATCGGGAGGTCCTCATCCTCGGCCTGTCCACCAGCCGGTTGGAAACCATATCTGCTGGATGTCGTAGACGCTGATAGAACACCAGGTCCCCAGGAAGGTATACCGATGAGGGGTGAGCCCTTGTGTTCGCTGCCCGGGATGCCCACTGGCGTTCTCGGTGCTCCATAAAGGCCTTGGCTGCTTGTAGACGAAGTTCCCGGTTCTGGAAGGCCTCTGTCCCCGGAGTTGCCGAGGCAGAGAGTGCCGCTAGTTCACCTGGTCGCGGGACTAGGGCTCCACCGGCATCAAAGTCCCGCCCCATTGTCCATTGAAGGGGGCTGAATCCATGGATTCGGGCATGCGTGTTGTGTGCCTGGATAATGGCTAAAGCGGCTTGGTTGGGGTCCACGGGGTTGCCTCTCAAAAAGGTTTCGATCTTCGCCTTTAACACTCCAATCAGGCGCTCCACTTCACTTAAGAACTCATGATGTTCAGCTGGGCACACTTGCAGTTCTGCCCCGTGCTCTTCAGCCAAGTCGGTAACCAGGTGACCACGGAGAGCACCCTCGGCGTCGAGCTTTATCACAGATAGAGGTCCAAAGTACTGGAACCAGGCCTCCTGCACCAGCACCTTGATCTCTGCGGATGAGGCATTCCACCCCTCCGTCTCTGGCGTCACCTTGATGCGCCGGATCACGGCATACCCTGATGCCTCGTCCTGCATCACCAGAAAATGATGAACCTGGTTGCCAATGCGATGGTGGCAGAGGTCCAGTTGAAGAACTTCCCAGAGTCGTTCCGACTTTTCAGTCTGGACCATGGGCCTCCGAGCCTTTCGCTTTCCTTCTTGGCATTGGTCACAAGTAAGTTGTGAGGCCGCCGCAATCAACTTTGGGTCCGCTCCTCGTACTTTAAGATTGCGGATCAGGAGGCGGTTCGAAGGGTGTCCGAGTCGACAATGTATTTTATGAACTCGTTCCATCATTGTCTCGAGCTCCTTCTTATCCATCGTCTCTAAAATCTCCTTCTCCGCCTGCGTCACCATGACCTCGGCACAGAACATCGGAGCATCTAGGAGTTGAGTCGCGAGGGGTTTCCAGAGAGAGGTCGTAGTGTTTGACGTGTGCGGCACCCCGTGGAGCACTGAGGCCTCTGAGCATCGAGTCCAGACGGCTCCACATCGCACCGCTTGACCACCATGGTGATCTTGGTAACTTCTCCAGAACTCTCTCACTTCAGAGAATCGGTCCAGGCGTTCACCTCCAAGGTGGATCCACAGCACTTTACATCCAGTGGAAATAGCCTCTCTGGAAACCTTCAAAAAGTTTCGAGCCACCTTGCGAAGTTTTAGGAGGGCTCGTCCAGCTCGAGGATCATCTTGACCCAGGCTGGAACCCTTCGGAAGGTAACACACCAGCCATTGCGGCTTCAACTCTCCAAGAAATCGAACAGTGCGCTCAGTCCCGGCTTGGGTTGATAAGTCACATCCCTCCTTGAAGGAGGCACTGGTCACCACAGCTCCTCCACGTTCCAAGTTCATTCGAAGCTGGGAGTCTCCAGGAGACCCAAGCTCCACCACTTGAGCGAAGCCACCTTTCACCTCTTCCGTGTCCTCATAGAGCACCTCTTTGTACTCATTGAGGACCGCCAGGATCTCTTCCTTCTCATGGTCCTCCAGCTTCACCTCGTCCTGGGGAGGCTCTTCACTCAGGTGGAAGAGACCAGACATACTGCTTGGTTTCTTTGGCAATGGGAAGCCAAAGGTTCGGAGGTCTGTCAAGATCTCCGGCTGGGCCTTAGTTACCAGTCGAGTGGTGTATGCTGCCAGCGCCACCCTTCTTCCAGTCCATTTCATAGTGGCATGCCAGCTCTTTGGGTCAAAGGCGACCACATCATGCCATGTGGCCCGGATTTCTCCGATCATCGACTGGCCATGGGGCCCTTTTCTTTTCCAAAGGGCATTCTCCTCCCCTTGACTCTCGGGAGGGGCTCTGAGCCAAACTTCTCCTCCTTCATGGTTCCCAAACGTCACAAGGTGGTTCAAGCTGCCCTCCAAATTGTGAAGGTCACGATGTGGTCGGGCCTCGGTGTTTACTGAGAAAGCCAAAGATGTCCATGTTGCTGACGCCATCTTAGGCTGACTTCGGAGCCAGGCATTTGTGTATCTAGTCAACCAAGGGAACTTCCAGGTCTGGTTCATGACTCCACTCATAGCACCATGACTAAACATGCCTAAGTGGACAACCGCTGAGTCCTTGCCCTTGACTTTGGAGAACGCCCTAGATGTCCTGGCACGCATGGGTGTCATCAACGACGTGACTTCCTCCATGGCTTCCATGCTGAAATCCTTGGCTTGATACAGGGACCTGGCACGTGTCTCGAGCAACTCTTCATCACTAAAGACCCCCAGGTTCTCGACGTTCTGTTCGTCCGACTCTGCAAGGTTCTCGAAGTTCTGTTCGTTCGACTCTGCAGGGTTCTCGAAGTTCACGTGGCCCTCTCCTCGTACTCGTGCGACTCTGCGGACTTCTCGTGGGGGCGCGCAGCCTTTCTTCCGGGGTGCGTCACCAGATCCTCCTTGTCGATGACCACCAGGTTGGACTCGTCCGACGCTGAGGATTTTCCCGGGCTTCCCTCGACCGCCGTTCCTGTGAGAGTCTGAGCAGCAGGGCGAGGGGTTGACTTGGCCGCCGCGCCTCGGGTCTTCGCCACAGCTGCCTGTCTCTGGTGACGAACCTGCGCCAGGTACTTTTCTGCCGACTTCTCGGCTGCAGCCCAGCCGATCTCCTTGTCCCGCAGGTTCTCGATGCCCACTTGCGGCAAATTTCCGTCCACTGCCTCCTGGGTGTCCGCTGGAAGTGGTCCCGGAGAGCGCCGCAGCCCGTGCTTTCCAACCCGAGGGACATAGCTGAGTCTCGAGTCCGCACTGCTTGCAGTGAGTCCATTGCCCATGTTGATTCGACCCACTCTTCGACCCTTTTCCCGGTGGGTCGGGAACATGCCGGCTGAAGCATGGAGCTCCAGCGAACCTCGGGTCGCGAGGATCTGCTTCCACAGTGCGAGACGGGTCGAGAGGCATTGCTTTCTCCTTGCTGGCCTTGGGTTTCGCTCGCCCTTTTCCGTTCGTTTCCGCCAGGGACATCTCGTTCGTGGTGGTCACGGTCGGCTGAGGCTCCGAGGAAGTCGCCATGAGCAGCAAGGAGAGTCGCAAGGATCGCGAAGGGCCTCATCTCAGACGGAGCTGATAAAGCTTGGGCCGTGGCATTCGCAGCATCAGAAAGTTGACACTCATGCGCATGAAGAGCGAGATCACTAGCTGAAACTCTACAATCTCCTGCTGCAGGCTGACCAACGTTGCACACTTGCTTGGCTTCTGCTCCACGGTCAACATTCTGGGCCTCCGCATCCTTAGGACCTTCAGCTTCAGACCAAGACCCATCCGTGACCATAAAGGCGGACCCTGTTTTCTCAGGCTGGGCCATCAGTACGGTCTCTGCTCGCGGCTGGAGCAAATCAAAGGCTTGAGACATCCAGTCCTCTCTCAGATCCAACAGCAAGTGTCCCGTACGAGACCGCCTGAGTGGGACCCCTTTAGTCGGGTCCACAGCACCGAACACTATCACGTCACGATGGAAGTCGAGTACTGCATGCAGCCGTCTCAATGTTTTGATGCCCACTAGCAGCGGTACTCCCTGGACGTCCAACGTGTAAATCCCAAGGCTCACGCACAACTCACCCAACCGTTGAGGAAGAAGGACATGTGAAGCCGAGTAGCCGTAGGCTCCGTTTCCGAACTTGAACCGCTTTGGAGGCTCATCGGTCACCTTGATCTGCTCCCCCTTCCACTTGCAGCCCATCTGGCATTCATCAGTGACTCCAAGGCAGGCAAACTACACACCGTTTCCGTTGCTCCCGAATCAAGAACCGCGAACCCTGCAAGATCTACCTCTGAGTTTCGCTCCTGAAGCAGAACTGTCTCCTCAGGCTCCGCCGGGGGGCCCATCTCAAGGCCTGTCCTGGGCTCGGAGATCATCATCACGTCCTCGGCGGGTCCTTCGGGGATCTCGGTCACGGCGTAGATGTCGCTTGCATTGAAGTTCACACTCCCGCGGCCTTTTCCTTTTCTCCGAGGGCAATCTCTAAAGGAGTGGTTCTTGTCGCCGCAGATGAAGCATCCCGTGTAAGACGGGTCCCCAGGCCGCATGGCATAGACGGCTTCGGCTTGCATCACTGGAAGGGAAGTTGCGCTCATTGGAGAACTCGGCGACGAGGAGAAAGGCCGCTTGCCTTTCTTCCCTTTTCCCTTTCCCTTCTTTCCTTTTCCTTTCGCGGAGGGCTGGAAAGGATAGAATCCGCGAGAAAGCCGCTGTGCCTTCACGGCCTGCCTCGCCTGCATGAAGTTCCGCAGCTTGCCGTCTGCAACGGCGTAGGCCTCGTCCACTTCCTTCATCTCTTCGGGCGTAAGCGGGGAGGAGTCCAGGTCATCATGCCATACATCTTCTCCCCACCAGCTCGTTCCGTCTTCGTACCCTGAGCCCCAATAGTTGTCCTGGTGATCGCCCTCGTCCAAGGAGTGATCCTCCCCGTAGTAGTGCACCTCGGTGGACTCCATTAGGTCCCCCAGGTCATCTTCGTTGACCAAGAGCAGGGACCAATGACCCTGCTCCTCCATCCAGAACGTTCTCCGGCGCGGACCACCGCCGTGGCCTCGCTGGTGTGTTTCTTGGCCCAGGAGCTCATCCTCCATGGACCTCATCGCCGCCTCAATAGACTCCAATCTCAGAGAGTTCCCTGCTGCCGCCTGCACGCTCAAGCGGGCGGTATTCGAGAGGCCAGCCCTCCGCAAGAGCAACCATCCAAGCAGCTCAGAAGGCAAGGCCTCCTCCAAGACCTCATTGTAGGCCTCCCAGAGCTTCAAGTCCTGGGCGGCATTCCGGGAACTGTCACTATCACTGTCTTTGTCCTTTCGGGCTGATCTAAGGATTCGCGAGGTCATGGAGGTGGTCATATCTCGCATCGGAGGCCTCGGTCGGGTTCTTGAGGGGGATATTCGGGGAGACTCAGTCTGCACGATGTCATCAGCCTCATCCTCCAAGGGAGGTCCTTCACCCGGTAGCGTCTCTGTCTCGATGGCCTCGGTGTCTGCTTCCCCATGGGGCTCTTCTATCGTAGCCGAGCTCCTCTCAGCTGACGCTCGCACCGACGGAGATCCGGCTGACAGAGGGGAGGCTCCGGAATCCCCGACCTTCTGAGTCTTCCTGACTCGGCCAAGGGCTTGCTGTAGCTGGCGGTAGGCTTCTCGGAGTCGGGAAGCCCACGTTGAAAAACTCTGACCTGGTGGCCTGCGCAACCTCACGATCAGGTTTTCCAGCCTGGTCCCAACGTCGTGAACAACCCCAGGTCCAAGCCGGGTCTCCAAGAACTGGAGCAGGTAGATGACACCGTTTCTCCGGACCAATTGGGAGTGGTCCACCTCCTGCGTCACCACCCAGGCCCTCCCAGTAAGTTGCGAAAGGATTTCTGGGGCTAGGAGGTGGCGCCGTCTTCGTGGTGTCCTTTCAAAGGCAAGTCGAGCTTTGCGGACGAAATCCGCCCACGTGCTGCTGTCACCATCCCATCCGCAAGAAAACTTGTTGTCCCTTTCGGACATGAATTCTTCGACAACCTCGATCTTCGAGGTTGACCCAAAAACTTGCACCAGAACCACCTTGGCCTCGTTGGTCGGGATAATCGGGCGCTCCTGGAAGGGCACCTATTTCAAGTAGTTCAGGAAGATCCCGTAGGGCTCGCGCAAGGTGGTACCGTCAAAGGCCAGTGGGCGACCCAACTGGCGAGAGCTCCCTGACCGAAGCTCCGCTACCAACGTCGGAGGGACGTTGGCAACAGCTGACACGGGGAAGCTCGTTCACGAAGTGCAAATGCAACAAAGATGTCAACTCACTTCTTTTTTCTTCGGGCCGTCTCGGTCCCACACGTGTGCTCGCTCTCGGCACCCCACAACGGCCTATGGCTCGCAAAGAAAACCTTGTGGTTTTCGAGTTACCGGCGTAGCTGCTGTAGCTAAAGCTTAGGCCAAAGGACGTCCTGCGGGGAACAGCTGTACACACATGAGCAAGCAGCATGCGGATTGAACCTGTCATGATCTAATTCCCTCTCGAGGCAACGCCTTTGACATAGACTGACTGACAGCCATAATTCGACAGCACCTGAGCTGAGCTGGCCTTCACCGTGCAGTCGCCATCCACGGCTCGGACACGCCGCTTTTCACGTACGGGCAGTTCCGCAATGTTCAGGAACTCCGCCTTTACAGCACAAACAAACCCCTGAACCCTGAACTCTAAGCCTTACAGTAAGCCCTAGATGCGATAAACCCTAAACCCTGAACCTAAAACCACAATCTCTCAGCCCCAGCTGGGCAAGCAGGGCTGGCGGATCGAAGGCGCGAGAGTTTCGGCCTCGCCGAGAGCCAACGGAGCTTGCAGCACTTGTGTCTCCGGCCTCGGCGGACCCTTCTGAAAGGCTTAGGAGACCTGACTAATGCTATCCATGATGTTGATGATGACTACGATTGCTCTGACTGACGCCAGTACTACCACTGCTAGTGGTAGCAGCAGTGGCAGCAGCCGCTGTAGTCGTCGTCGTACGTAGCAGTAGCAGTAGCAGTAGCAGTAGTAGTAGCAGTAGCAGCGGCAGTAGCAGTAGCAGTAGTAGCAGCAGCAGCAGGAGTAGTAGCAGTCGTCGTCGTCGTCGTAGTAGAGGTAGCAATAAGAGCATACGAGCAGGAATCCTAGCTACGATACATATTTACAGAAACGTTCTTCTCGTCCTCTTCTGAAGATGACCAGCCTCCGGAGTCCCTGGAGTCTCGGCCACTGTCTCTCTGAGTGCCTGAGGCCTCTGCTCCTCGATGAAAGACCCTTGGAGCAGCACCGTCAGGGAATCTGCCTCGCCAAAGCTTGCAATAACAAGCAAACCAAAAAGTAGTAGCAACGTAGCAACACCACTGCCAGTGGAGGTTGTCGCGGACAAGTAGCACAACAAAGCAGTCACCATGCTGAGCATATACTGGCAAAACAAATTCACCGGCCTAACGAACACTCACACGAGCAGCGGTAATGATCTCATCCAGATCTGCGCTGAGCAAGCCTTGAACTCGCAGATATTTCTCAGCGCAGAGGCTTCGAGGTTTCTGGTGGTGCTTGCACTTTGGCTCGGCCAAGGTCGCTTGCCTGCAACATCCTCTTCTCTAAACCGTCAAGACCTTGAACCACCAAACCCCCGAACCTTACCCAGAGACCCTGAGGCTATTTGTGTGCCTAATTTGTCGGAAACTCCCATGACATCCTGCAGACAATTCGGGATGGCAAGCGGCAGCATCCGGGCAACGCTTGCTCAGTCCGGCGCCTATGAGCTTCGAACCGTTCCTAACCGGCCCAGCAGGGCTTGAAGCCTATGGTCTGAAGCTGCGAAAGTCCTAAAAAAAAACCCAGGTAGTCGCTGCATAGATAGAGTCAGGTCAGGTTCAGTGCCGATGCTGCCGCTCCCACTCTGCATGAACAAAACGACACTCGAATGCTTGATAGCTTCCGAAAATCTGGGCCAAAGGATGGTCAGAGGATTGCTGTTAAAGCTTTACCAAGATTCATCAAGAGACCCCTTCTTCTCGGAAGCTAGCGTCCTAGCTAGACGAATCTGGTGCGGCAGCAGAAGGCAAGGTGTAGCATGCTCTGCACACTGCGCTGCGTCATCATCGCAAGACAACTAGCATCATCATGTCAGGCGTAGCACTAGGGATGACATTGATACACGCGCCAATATGAGTACTTCTGCAATGCTGCATCCTGAACAAGAAGAGCTTCCTGAAGCAACCCCTTTCCGGACGCCCTCAAGCCTGAACCTTGGTCTCCAAATGGGGAGTGCTCTGCGCTGGCTTTCCCTGTCAGCCCATCATAGCCATACTATCGCTTGCCTATACCGGTCGTCAAACACCGAGCATCTTCATCACAGCATACACCGTTGCTCTAAATCGCCTGCACTCAGAGTTCGTTGCGGCGACCTGTGCCGGCCTGCAGTACCATACGGGCGGCAAGTCTTGGGGTGTAGGCCCCTAGGAGCTTACAGTAAGGTTGCGGGGCATAGCAAGGCTTGCAATAGGGTCTTGGGTTTTAGGTAGTTCAGGATTTTAAGGCTTCAGTCATAGGTAGCACCACGGGCACAATCAATAACGCATCACCTAGAGCTGCATCGCATTTCAACGGCCGGGAGAAAGAATCTTGAAGCATCCTGAAACAGCAAACAAGACCAGGATGCACGTAAAGGCGACGGCGACGGCGACCGTGTTGGAGAAACATGCATGGCCAAGAAAATCAAGAAGGACCGGCAAGACCAGCAGTTGACAAATTGCATTCATGACTGGGCGAACTACATTACCGCTGCATGCCTTCAGGCTGTGGCTTAACATGGCATACAGCAGGAGTCGAAGTAGCTTGCAACTCCAACCCTGTTCTCGCTCCCTGACACTCCCCAGTTCCAAACCCTAAAGGCCCTAAAGCCCGGAATCCCAAAATTCACACTCTTAAACCCTAAACCCTAAACCCCCTAAACCCCCTAAACCCTGAAGGTCCGCTAAAAATTGGACTCCCAGCCTTGCCCTGGTTCAGACGCACATCTCTCGATTGCTGCCCAGGGAGGCGTCCAAGGGCTGCCTCCGAGTTCTCATGTTTGCTTAGTGTGGCACTCAGAGCTGGCCATCTGCGATTTATGAAGGAAAGTTCATGCCTTTTGTCTTGCTGTTCCTGCTGCTCAGCTACTAAACGGCGCCAACTGCCACTCCTCCTACTCCTGCTACGCTAATTTCCCACCTCGAGAGCATCACCTGCTTCCGCGCTGATTTGCTGCGGGAAGTCTATGTGGAAGCGGATCACCAGCTTGCCGGCGGAGGTTGGATCCTCCACGGCTCTCGGGCCAAACGGGTCAGTAACAGGGTTTCGGGACCGGGACATCTGACAATCATCGCACACCAGTACGAGGGCCTGTGTGTATACTGTGTATAGATAAATATGTCTACTCATGATTACATGTCTCGGTATTGATGTCCACTCCTGTATGCTGCTATACATGTACTTGACAAATTTGAAATCAAGCTTGGTAGCGGCACGCTTAGAACCCTGTAGCCCGACCACCCGGGAAGTCTCATGCTCTTCAAGTCCATGTTTTACATGGGGGTTTCCGAAAATTAGGGTACCTTATTTTGGGGTCCTTATAATAAGGATCCTACTATTTAGGGTATTAGATTAGGGTCCCCTATTTTCGGAAACTCCCACATCAGCTCCAACCAGGCCTCTTTGTGTGGCATGCCTTCGCCCTGGATTTCCAGGGCTGCACCAGGTTTCAGCACCTCTCACTTCAGGGATCGGGAAACCTACACAACTGGGTCTTAGGGGAGGACCTTTGCAGACCGTTCAACTGCGTCATATCTGTGATTCGGGGCGACAGTTGCCTGACCAGAATATAGACAGAATGACCGGAACCAATTCGAGGCAGCAAGGTGGCGAAGGGCGCCAAGAAAAAGGCTTGGATGTACCATTATATCTATCTATCTACCTATCTACCCACCTATCCACACATACAGAGCAAGTCTGCTTCCCCCAAAGTGAAGGTGAGACGACTGCTGCTACAAGAGAAGGCCCTGAGGCTCCCCACATCCCCTCGCTCCATGCTGAAGTGCACGATGTGACCATCCAAGTGGGTCAGCTCGCGCTTGAAGCCCAGGAGAGCCTGCCCAGGCAAAGGCAGTTCTGGGGGCTGGGGGGTTTAGGGGTCAGGGGTTTAGAGGTATTTTAGGGTTTTGTGGGATTGGAGATGGGGGGTTTGGGGAATTCAGAAATGGGGTTTAGGCTGGTGCCAGGAGATACAACCACCGAGGCGGGCACCTCGTAGAGGCTGATGCGTACATCGATCATGAGGTCATCGCCCAGTCGCTTGAACACCGGATGCTTCTTGACCTTGGCTTTCGGGCTTTACGGATGTTCAGGACTTTGGGGGCAAGAGCGGGGCCGTTCATCAGCAAGTCTAAGCAAGCCTAATTGATTATAACAAGCCTCGCACTGGTCTCGTATTCTGAGACCGCAGCACGCAGGGTCACGAGAGCATCGCCTGCGTGGAGGATTTACGAAGTGACGTGACTTGGCAGCCTAACTAACAATACAAAGCCCGCCTGGAATGTGCTTGGGGAGCTGGCTTCCCATGTGCGGGAAGTGCGCACGATCCCCAAACCTCGGCTAGCATCCCAAAGCTTCCCGGATTTCAGCAAGATTCGGGATGTGTCCCTGTTTGTGTGTGTGTGTGCATGCAGATCTGAAACATGCAATTCGCCGCCGACCCGGAGGCATAAAGGAAGCCCCTACATCTCGCTTCAACATCGAAGCGTGAGCCGGGGCACATTGTGCCACGCTCGATCTGCATCTTCAGCTTTTGCCGGTCCCAGGTGCACTTCTCATTGCTAGGGACCTTCGACGCCGGCGTCACAGATCCGCAAGCTTGGCAAGGGCAAGCCGTGCCTCGAACTCCTCGACCCGGTAGTGCCACCTGGGGAACTGCCCATAACACCCCAAGAACAGAACACCCTACAAACCCTGATAGAACCCCAACACTTCAAGGAAGGTACCCCCTACTTAAGGGCTCTCCCTGACTAAACCTGAACCCTATACGGGGGTTTCCGAAAACAGGGGACCCTAATATAGCACCCTAAATAGTAGGATCTTTATTATAAGGACCCCTAAATAAGGTACCCCCCAATTTTCGGAAACCCCCATAAAGAGCATCCAGGCCGCTGGTCCAGCCAGACCTGCCGCTGCTGGCGCTGGCCGGGGCAGGCCTGAAAGAGTAGGTTCAGGGTGGTTCGTCGAGTTCATAATAATCATAATAGTAACAATAATAATAGCAATAATAATAATAATAATGATAACAATAAAAGTAGTAATAAAATAATCATAAAATCCTAAACATCCTAAATCCCCAAACCCTGAAAGGGAAGCCCCCCTTCCATGCAGAAGCGCCTGGCACTTCCGACAGCGCTGGAGGTCCGGCCGCATGCGGCAGGACCTCGCACATCAGGCTTTTCACATCCGAACCCTGGGCGCTCTGGCGAAAGCGGCTGCCTGCAAACGACCCTGCGGTTCACAAGGATTTCCTCACAAACGACGCGAAAACTAAGTGTCACGGCCGTCGTAAGATGGACTCACTTGCAGTGTCTGGAAAAGGGGCAGAGGTCCTTCTCACCTCCCTGGTAAGCTTCCTCCAGGGAGATGTCATGGGTCACCTTGAGACCAAGAACACCAACCCCTCGTCTGCAAGCTAGGCCGCTTACATCCTAGGGCCCGAGAGCATCCTGACGCACGGCTGCACAGTGCCAGCCTCGTAGTTATCCACGCGCTCAATCTCACCATCGCCATCTGGCGCACGGTTGCACATGTCAGAACGCTTCAGGCCGTCTTGGCCTTGAGGGAAAGGAGTGCGTCAATGCGGCTGCGAAGTAGGCAGATATGTGTAGCCCCTGATCCTGCCTTTCTCATACTTCTTGATCAGATCCATGCCGCCTGCCAGCACAGGCCAAATCCAAAGAAATGGCATCTTGCTTTGCGAAGGGCACGCTGTGTCACCATGCAGGTGGCAGGGCAACCCTGAACCCTACGCCCTAAACGGTTGCCGCCGGGCCTGTATCATACAGCAGCATTTTCACCGGATCGCTGAGGATCTCGTAGGCATCTCTGATCCTGGCTAGATGCTTCATGTCACACACCAACTGCACACCTCCAAACGCCCCTAACAGCCCTAAAATCCTACTAAACCTAAACCCCATGAAACCCTAAACCTAATGCCCACTCCTGTCTCCCAAAACCCTAAAACCCCACGAACCGAGCCAGGAGGACATGTTGAAGCGTTCAGCGGACTCCGGGTTCTTGTCCGGGTGCTCTTTCTTGGAGAGCTCTCGGTAGGTCCTTCATTTCATGGGACCCGATATGCCTTTCTGGGGGTCTCCAAGTCTCCAAAGGATCCCTATGCTATGGTACTCCCCCTTTTGAAGGATCCTGTGAAATTTTGCGCCAAAAAGGGCAGAAGGTTGCGTTGTTTTGGGGGTTGCGGGGCTTCGAGTATAGATCTTACTCGATGCTCCAGCTGCTCCACAAGATACCAAATACACGATTGAGTACACACCCCAAACTCGAAAACTCTAGAAACACAACCTAAACCCTAAACCCTAAACCCTAAAAGGATCTCTTCGAACCCGACGCTTCGAAAGACCCGGGATCCCAAAATCGCCACGTCCTCTTCAGGGCAGCCCGGTCGAGGTCGGCATTGTCCTGCCCAGATGGCTGTGGCTTAGCAAGCTTCGGGCTCAAAATTAGTAGCTATTAATTAATAGTTATTAGTATAGTTATTAGTATAGTTAATAGTATAGTTATTAGTATAGTTAATAGTATAGTTATTAGTATAGTTATTAGTATAGTTATCAGTATAGTTTTTAGTATAGTTGCTGGTAGTTCGTAGTAGTTATTAGGAGTCTATCCAAGGAAAGCACCACCCGAACACCAAACGACGCGAGGCCTTGCCGTCATCTTCCATGCCGAGCGCCTCGAAGAGCTCTGAAAGATCGCCATCGTCGGCCGTTTTCGACCTTTTTTTCTCTGCCTGCGGTGCGCCGTGGATGAGCACTTACTGTTGGGATTTGGGAGCTGGAGGGGTGCAATCGCTTGCTGCTGGGGCCTTCTTGAGAAAGTCGATCATTGTTCTCATCAACCTGTACGAATGAATAGGTTCGACTTCTTGTGGCGAAATCTCATGGCTGCACGCACTTGGACCAAGAGCACATGAGGGCAGAACTTCTCTCTCGCTGTCTCGTCGATGTTCGCACGAAGCAGCGCTCGAAGCAGGTCGGCAATTGCCTCCGAGCTGCTTTGCGGAGTACGTAAGCCACAAACTTGGTTTTAGAACAAACCCTATGATACGGAAAGTGGAGGCCCTCTCGAGATGGTTCGTTTACACTTTTGCATCCCGTCAAATTTTTGTGGCTCTTGGAACCTTACCGAAGTTTACCGCGGTACGGTCCCATATGGAAACCTCAGCAAACTCCTCCCGGCGGCCATGTTCCGCAGCTCTGCGGCTGAACCTGTCCGGCAGGAAGGGATCCCTGGATTCCGCAGTGGTCTCAGCAGCGCGGGAACGCTGGGAGCCATGCCACTCAGCCCCAACTTTTCGAGATCCCCTCAACAACCATACGAAGTGCAGCGGAGTCACTGGCCACCCGTCTTCAGAAGCCGGTAGCGCTCCTACACTCAGCTGAAGACTGCGACATCAAGTGGGCCAATACGGTTTCGGTCGTGGGTTTCTCGCTTTGGGTTTCAGAGTTTCAGGGCTTAGCGCCTCAGCGTTTTCGGGTCGGGGCTTTAGAGGGGTTTGGTTTCAGAGCGCATGTGTTCCGCGCAAAGTGCGTCCGATAGCATTGAAGGTCGGGAAGCAGTAGCTTTTAAGGGTTTCGCCTGCATTGGCCTGCTTCCTGCAGTGTTACGGTTAAGTATCTCAGGGCGATCCGCAGCTTTCCAATGCCCCAAACCTACCTACACTTCCCCCACCAACATCGAGGACCGACGCACCCAGAAGCAAACTCAGAAAAGCCAAGGCATTGAAACACTGACAGCTGTAGCTCCGGGCGCCTGCGGCGTCCCCTCGTCCAGCATCTGAGGGGCGATATATCCGATCTGGCCGGTTTCAGCCTGCATCCAGCTATGGATGCACCGCAGGCCCGTGCACCTGCGCTGTCCCAGGCTGCCCAGCCTCTTTTTCTAACTGCTCATGAAGGCTCCGCGCGCAGGCGAGCACGGCCTGAAGCAGGGAAGCGGACCAGGCCCTTCGCAAGGTCACACAACTTGTCGCAACAGATGCAGCAAGCCACGGGCCTCACCACTACTTGTCGCCGTCTTCCTGAGAATTCTGGCCAGCCAGCTGGAAGCTACGAGAAGACCCACAGAACCCTGCACTTTCGAGACGGATTTTTTTGAAACCAAAAGGCCGCGTGGTCGCAGCCCTCGCTGCGGCCATTGCGGCATCCTCGCCACAGAGGACTTGGACGGTGACCTCCCGCGAACAGAAGGCAGTAGTAGTTAGTGGTGGCGGCAGCAGAAGCAGCAGCAGAACCGTAGTAGAGACACAGATATGGCCGCGGCTCTGGCCCGCACCACAAAAGAAACTCTGCATCTTTCGCTGGAGAGTTCTGTCACAGCCAGACTCAGCAACAAAAACTTATGTTGCTGATATTCGCTGAACCTGTCGACTCAACTATAAACCCAGCAGCATACACGGATAGATATCACTGATCACAAAAACAAACGAAGCAATTAAGAAATTCGAAAAAACTGTCACAGCAAGCAGACAGATATGTCATGTCATGTAAACTCTTGTTGCATGAAAATGGCGGTTAGGGTTTAGGGATAAGGGTTTAGGCTTGAGGGTTGAGGGTTGAGGGTTTAGGGTTTAGGGTTTAGGGTTTAGGGTTTAGGGCGCACCAATGGCCTGGCCTTGCCCTTGACGTCGCTTTGCATGGTGGCAGAGATGCCAACCGGAGATCGGCCGAAGTCATTCGGGCCGGTGCAGACTGCGACTGCGCGGGCCTGCCATGGGCCCTGAACTCCATGGTTTAGGGCTTTAGGGGTTTAGGGTTTAGGGTTTTGGGTTTAGGGGTTTTGGGTTTAGGGTTTCGGCATGGGCTAAGGCATCTTCGGGACCCTAAGCCCGTAGACCCGTGGCTGCTCTTCTGCCAATCCCGTCTGCTAGGTTCGGGCAGGCTTGAGGGTCCCGGCCACTAGCAGCACCGCCACAGCGCACAGCCGGCCCGGCATCGGAGCAGTCATTGCAGGGTCGGTGTCTTAAGTTGAGATGGCTGGATTTCACATAGGGTCCGCTGTTCCTTGCTGATTTTGGAAACTTCTCTTGTGACTGAAACGGTCCCAAGGCAATCAAACTAGTAGGGTCTCCTGGGTTCGTATTGTAATATTGTAGGCTCGCCGCTATCCAGAAGAGGGTTGGGTCATGCTTGCTTCTACATTGCTGAATCTGCTGCTGCAAGCCAACGCTCCAAGCGACGAGGCTTTGACTACACTGTGTAGTCAGACTACTCACCTGCCAAGGGCACCATTGAGGCGGTGCATCAACGAATGTGCAAGCTGGCTTTGGCCGAAACTCGGGCGACAAAAGCTTTAGTGAATTAGCCTGATGTGTCGGACTACCCGACTATCCAGCAGACTTGCCCAGAATAGGCCAGCAGGCACCTCAACCTCCACCCAGCCATCTGCTGGCACGATGACGTCCTCATCTTCAGATGCAGGGCATGTCGTAGCAAGCATGCCTTACAGATTGCATATTGCATCATGTCTAAGCTATACAGCTATACGTTATTATATGTGATGCTCTTTCAAAAAGAAGACGAGCGGTGTCCCCACCGAAAGCAGGCCCTGCCAGGCTAAGGCGAGGACGTCACCACGTACGATGCATCCCCCAAGGCCAGTCGAGGAATTTCAGAATACTTAGGGGCCTAAATAATTTTGGGGCCCCTTATTCTGCAATGCTAATGAGGAACCCCCAAAATAGTATTGGTAATTATCTAGGCTCCGACATTATAGGGGGGCCACATAGGGACCGTAAATCAGAGGATCCTCACAACGAGACCTCAGTGCTGAAGGGGTTCCGGGGAGTTGGCACCCAGATGGAGA